ACGCTTTGCTGCAGAGAAACCCACTTTTGTTTCTCCTTTGTCCCCTCTAACAAAAGGCGAGGGAGTTAAAGCCATTCTATCAAAAATCAACATGTCACTTCTTTTTCAGACCCGTTTCTTTCCTCCCTTCTCCCCCCCCCCTGCTCCTCCCTAAAATCTCAGCAAGACTCTCTTGCCAAAGCCCAAATCAGACAGGAAGAAAACTTTTAAAAACTGGAAAAGCAGAATTTTCCTTACAGCCTGGCCAAGCCCATGCACCGCGGATTCCCGAAGTTAAGCTCAACTAAGTGTGAGGTTAAACTTGCTCCCAAGGCAAGTTTGCATAGCTGGAAACCATTACGCCTTTACTTGGGGAGTAAGTCCCATTGAATCCTGTGGAGTTTAAAACTTCCAAGTAGGTTTGCAGTTGACTGCACTGCTACAATATGGAGGAACCCCCCAATTTCCTGTTTTTAAAGGAATGAACATGCACACACAGGCGCGAGGGCGCGCACACACACACTCTATCCCTTCTCAGAGCTTTCCTGGATAATTTTGGAAAGGCTGTAAACTAAGATTCTGATTTGGGGGAGGGAGGTCTGATTTGGCACCAATCACGCGGTAAAAAAGGGTAGCTTGCTTTTCTGTTTGCCCCAAACTTCCCTTCTCGGCACTATGCCAGATACTCTAAACAGATACTGCAGAACCATTTAGAAAGTGAGAAGGCCAGGGTGAGGGAATAAGCAAATTCTCCTAGGATATTTACTGCCCCGAAACACAGTCTGGAGGCGAGTCTCTCGGTGAGAAGCAAAGTTAGTCTGAAGGAACAACGGTCCAAGCCCTTGTTCCTTGCCATACAAGGGGAGAGAAGAGGCCAAGGGGAGCCTCATACGGCAGTCTCTCCTTTGCTTCCTGTGCTGAGTCTGTGGTAAAAGCGCCTCCAAGATTGGAGAGTTTTGCCAGTCCAAATCCAGAAGCCAGTTGTGATGCCCACAATCATGGTCATGAGATATTTGATCAAAAAGACAGTGAAGTCGGGGCTCATCGGGGCGACGTTGGTGGGGCAAGCGATGGCATAGCTTTTGCAGTTCTGCAGGAGCCAGGTTTTCTCCCACGTGTCCCGGAAGGCCTGCTCGTAGAAGTAGCAAGCCAACACAATAGTGGCAGGCACAGTGTAGAGGACGCTGAAAATGCCAATCCTCACCATCAGCTTCTCCAGCTTCTCGGTTTTGGTGCCATCGTGTTTCATGATGGTCCGTATACGGAAGAGGGACACGAAGCCAGCCAGGAGGAAGGAGGTGCCAATGAAGAGGTAGACAAAGAGTGGGGCCAAGACAAAGCCCCGCAAGGCGTCGACGCTGTAGATGCCCACGTAACAGACTCCACTGAGCACATCCCCATCGACCTGCCCCATGGCTAAGATGGTGATGGTCTTGATGGCAGGCACGGCCCAGGCAGCCAGGTGGAAATACTGGGAATTGGCTTCAATGGCCTCGTGGCCCCACTTCATGCCAGCCGCAAGGAACCAGGTGAGGGAGAGGATCACCCACCAGATGGAGCTGGCCATGCCAAAGAAGTAGAGGATCATGAAGAGGATGGTGCACCCTTCTTTCTTGGTGCCCTGAACCACAGTGCGGTAGCCGTCTTCCGAGAAGCCTTCCACGCAAACCACTTTGTCCTCCAGCAGGAAGCCAGCCACGTAAGCCACGGCCACCATGAAATAGCAGCCGGAGAGGAAGATGATGGGCCGCTCAGGGTAGCTGAAGCGTCTCATGTCCACCAGGTAGGTCAGGACAGTGAAGAGGGTGGAAGCACAGCACAGGATTGACCAGATGCCCACCAAGAGGCGGGCAAAGTGAACCTCGGCTTCCTTGAAGTACATCAACCCATTGGGGAGTTCTGGTTCGCAAGGGGCACCGCAGTCTCTCTCGCCCAAAAAGCGGTAGCCCAGGTACGGGGGGACTTTGAGCTGCCGCGGGCAGGAGAAGCCGGAGTTGGTGGGGCGCTGGGGGTGGTAAGTCGGATGGGGCAGATACGGGGTGGGGAAGACGGTGGCGCTTTCGGGGCTCCCTCCTCCGCCGCCTCCTCCTCCCGAAGTGTCCGAAGTATTCTGGCCCACGCAGATCTCACCTGCGCCGTGCATGGGGAAGTTCTCGCAGCGGAGCCGCTCGGGCCACTGGAAGCCGAACTTGTTCATCAGGGCCTCGCAGCCCTGGCGGGCTCTCTCGCAGAGGGATCGGCAGGGCGGGATGGCCTGTTCCAAGACGGTGCAGACGGGCGCGTACATGGAGCAAAGGAAGAAGCGCAGCTCCGGCGAACACTGGACTTTAACCAGCGGGTAGAACTGGTGGACTTCCAGCCCGGCGTCTTCTTGGTTGGTGTGGCCCAGGAGGTTAGGCAGGATGGTCTGGTTGTAAGCGATGTCCGTGCAGAGAGGGATGGAAATGGGCTGGCAGAAGCCGTGATCCGGGACAGAAATCCCTTTCTCCCCGTGGTAAGACTGAGCGGCGGAGCCCCGGGGAATCCCGCACAGGACGCCCAGGAAAACAGCCAGGCCCAAGGAAGCAGCGGCCGTCCTCGGCGCTCTGGCTCCGCGATCCATGATCGGCGAGGAAAGGAACGACCGGCGAGCAAGCGGCTCTCTTTCACAGCCCAGAGCCGCTGGAGTCTCGACGCATCGGCGGCGCCCAGCCCAGAGCCCCCCGAGAGGGCCAGCGGCCAAAAAGGCTTGACGCGGCGGCACAAGGCTCTTCCAAGCAAGGCTCCTCTCGGGTGGAGGAGGTGAAAGAGGCGGGATCGCTCGCCAAACC